ACAAAATATCTGTGTTTGGAACATGTTACATCATTGTGTAATTCATGTTATGAAAATTTTAATTAATATTTCTTTTTTTTTGTTGCAATTACTCTTCATTTTTGATTTTTTTGTGTATTGAATTAATTTCTTGAAGTTCCTAGTAAACAAATTTAACAATATTCAATGTATTTTTTTTATTTTTAAAGTTTTTTGTATATATAAATGGATAACAATGAAAATTAGTTAACTTTTCATTAAACTAATATAGTGTTGAAACAAACGCATATCTACAAAATTATATGATTATATATTCATTAAATAATATAATTATACACAATTTTCAAAAAAAGAAAATTAAAAAATATTACTGACCCCATTTTTTCGGACCCGGTCTTCTGCACCGTGCGCGAGTATTCGATCACAGAAAATTGGCGCGAGTAACGGAAGGTTAAGATTACACCTTCTGTTTCAATGTAAGAAGTATGAAAATAAAAAGATGTAATGTGCAAACAATAACTTTATTATTGAAATTACAAAAATTGTTACTGCATGATTTGGAAGACGCATTAAAAAACAATATGTAATACGAACAGAGTTTCCAAAATATTCATCATTGGAACTAACGCAAGAAAGACCTTATCAATAGAGAAATCATTAATTACAAAATGAATTTCTTTATTTTTCCTCCACTCCTAATTACACTTTCCAATCGATTTCGTATGGAAAGGATAACTTTTCTAATAAATTCTTTAGGCATTGCTTCCCATTGACAACGCAGGTCAATTTATTGTAGGTATACCGATCTCAGTCAGATAGGTGGCGGTAACTCATGCGGTATGGCATCGTGCATTATTCTGCATTAAAATAAAGACATCACCAATAAATCCCGTGTATGGAACCACATGTTTCTCCAAAATGTTTCTGATATAACGATCCGCCGTTATACTTATTTCACCAGGCACGAAAATCAACTCGGTTTTCCCATCCATGGAAATTCCTGCCCAAAACTTACAAGAACAGCCTCCATATGACACAATTTCTCGTATACAATATTGAGCAAATCACTTTCCTGGCCTTCTATAGACTCGACGCCTCTTGTCGTTGCCATGTAGTTGCCATGTTATTTAGTATGCGTTATTTCTGGGCTGCAGTTAGCTTGGGACCTGTAGCTCCCTTTTGTACCACGTTAGCTGCCTTCGGTCTCCTTCTGACTATCCAAATGCTGTTAACCACACTTTGGATCTCTCTAAGATCTTCTTTGCGATTAGCACCAGTCAAATGTTGATTTCTCAGGTATTGCAATACAAGAAATCTCGATCATCTCTCTCCGTTGTTATTCGTTTACCCCTCCTCCTTGTAAATGGACATAATCACCAATACCTTGGTACCAACGATACACTCGGGACACAACGGATTGGCTTAAAGTTAGTCGATTTGCCACGGCCCTCTAGCTCAGGCCTTCTCTCAATGATGTTACTGCTTGCCTGTTTGTTCGGATGTGTTATCCATTTGTAATTCAGTAACGAACTTAACTAACTGATGTATTAGTGGTTTGCTGTGGAAATTGATGCGTACGATGTTAACCGAATGTGTTAAGTCGGTGCTTGTCCATTTCAATAAGTCAAATTCTGATTCTCTCTCAAAGTGTTGCATTATTTCTCAATAATGAGGTTAACGATTGTATACTAAATATTTTTAAATTTATACTTTTTAGATTGAAACAAGATAAGTACTTTCTCAAAGTAATTTTGAGTCGATTATTTTGCACTCAAGTGTTGATTTAAACACGAAGCGTTGATTGATGGGTTATTCAATCAACGCACGAAGTATGATAAAAGTGATTTTTTTTGTAAAATGGTTCTATTCTTCTCCTTAATATGATACTAGCACCGACATCTATTAACAGGTGGCTGAAATACGAATGTTACAGGATTCTACCTCAGAGAATTTTAAATGTTGATAAGTTAACAGAGTTCTAACTGAAATAAAAACAGTCAACTAAGTCATTGATTATAAACCACTACCATGTTTACCATGTTTTCTTCATACAAATCTATTAATTGCAAACATTGTTCATTTGACCACTCCATTTTACACAAAAATCAATAGAATTAATAAAACTCAATCAATTCGAACTTGTCTTGCAAATGCAACAAATCCCCATGCTATCCGTCTAAACTGTGCGCGAACGCACACGTATGTTTCTGTGATGTGTGCCAAAAAACCGACACCACTCTGGCTCGCAGCATGTGTGCTCAAATCATTCGCGAGAAGCAACGCATGCGGCGAGAGGTTACGAAAGCGCCGTCCACATTTGCACACGTATGTGTATTTGTGACTGCTCACCGCATGCGTTTGTAGGTCTGTACACGCCTTAATTTCAACGAATGCTCTCAGCGTGAATGGTTTGAGTACGCACGCAACGATACTGATCTGGCTGTTAAGAATTAATGAGCAAGGGTTAAAGAGCTCCTTTATAGGATAGTGCAGCTGTCTTATCCACGTTAAACGAGAGTAAATTAGAGTCGAATCAGGTTTTTATTTTAAGTAGTTCTGAAGTTATAGTTGCATGAGGGGTTGCAAAATTGAAGTTTTTTCAGGTGCTACCGGTATCATCAGCTAAAAGAAATATTTTTCATTGATTTTTAAATAAGTGATGTCATTTATAAAGATAAGGGAAGTAGAGGAACCAATACTGAACCAAGTGGTACTCCACCGGTTTAGTGACTAGAGGCAGTATTATTTGCTTTAAGCAGTTGTTTCCTATTCCCTAAGTAAAATTGTTCTGATTTACAGAATTAAAAGATTTGCGTTGTCACAAAAAACAGTATAAAGATTATTGTTTAGTGCTTATTAAACCTTATATAGTACAGAAAACAGCATCCATATTTATTAGATAAAAAGCCGAACTAATTTTGTGATATAATGTTCTCAACGAGAAAGGACATAACTCGGGCTTCTATAAGTCTCTCAATTTTGAGAGACTTTTCTTTTTCACTACCCTTATGAAGAAGAATAATAATGGCTGTCTTTAGACACTCTGAAAATATACTTTTTTCAAGGGAATCATTAATTAGTGAGACCAAGACTTTTAACACATTTTTTGGGGGATGTGATAAAAATTTTATGGATAGTCCATCAGTACTACAGGAAGATTTGCTTTTGACACTATTGCTTGTTTGGATCAGTTCAGATAAATAATGAATTCGGGACCCTTTTTGAAATTGGGAAAGAAAAATGGGATCTTGTTTTGGCAAAATAGTTGATGTTATATGTTTATTCGCATTAACAAAGTATTCATTTCAACTTTCAGTGTTTTGAAGAGAAAATGTTTAAGCTGCGTTTGTGTTATTTCACAGATCGTTTATTATGGACCAAGTATCTTTTGCAACGTTTTTGGAGTTTTCCAGACGATTTTGATAGTACGCTTTGTTAGCTGTTTTGATAGTGAAATTTTAGATAAGTTCCTTTGTATGTACTTGGTGATACATTTCGTGACGTTGGTATTAAATTTTCTTATGTACAGTATATGATAAACGCATATTCTTGGCTGATATGCGGATACCTTTGGTAGTCCAGGGTTTGTGATTTTTGGTTTAATTGTAATTAAAGGAAATGTTTTATTGAAAATACAGACAAGCCTATCTGAAAAATTATTAAATATCTTGTCCACATCCACACAAGGACAGTGCCACCCAGAAGTCAAACATAAATTTTGGAAATAACAAAAGTTGTGATCGGAAAAAATCCTATTTAAACGTCGGGTTTTCGAGGAGGATTTATTGAGAGTGTACAAATACTTTATGATCAGATAGTTTTGCATTAATAATTGTAGAGCGTACATCAAGGGGTGAGTAATCTGAAACAATATAATCAATTATGATAAGTGTTGCCTTAGTAATTCTTGTAGGACAATTAACGTGCATTGTGAGACCCTATGTTTAGAATATATGGACCAAGGATAGTTGGGGGGCACAAGCAGCAGCATAATTAATATTTAAGTCACCGTATATATTTTTTTGCTTTTATTGGGCAAATCATCTAACAAATTTAGCAGTTTTCGAAAAAAATAGTTCCGTGGAAGAATCAGTTGATCTATAATAGCAAAGAATTTATAGATTCAGATTCTTATTATAAACTAAGGAAATCTTAAAGAAGGCTTTATTTAACAGAAAGTCATATTTTGTTATCGAAGAGAAATCACTATTTGTAGAAAGAATTAGGGTGCCACCATGAGCTGAACTTTGATCATCATACATAGCAATTGTACAATATTGTGGAATCTTTTCTTTTCTGAGACCCTAGTTCTGAGCTTCCAAGACCCATTGTACTAAATAAATAAATTAACTGTACTGAAATGTGTATTTTCCTAATTATTTTTGATTCCAAAGAAATAATTAATGAAGCAAAATATTACATTGGTCTACTGATTTACTTACTTTCTTAAATTTACAATCCATACGAACTTCAATGAATGTGTTGATTTATTTAGAGCCGGTTTTTTTAGAAGCATAATATGTATTCAATTTTAATGACTTGTTTCGGATGTTACAACATCATTTACGTAATTAATCTTTTATTTCGGAAACCACTTTCACTGTTTTAGCATTCGCCGTGCCATTGATATAACATGTACCGTTCTTCTAGTAACATCACGAATGGGTCAGTCACTTTAAAACTTTCTTTGTGGAGAAATTGTATATATATATATATATTTAGCGATAAAATAAATATTTTGTTTTCTTTTATATTAATATTTATGGAGATAATGATTAGAAGAAAAGTAAAAGATGATGATGGCTTTATCAGGTGTATAAATTTACGTTATTATTTTTATGGTGAGTTTATTAATAAGACTAACACTAGTTAATATCGAGTTATTAAGCAAGAAGGAATTGAAAGCTTTATACATTGTAGCTTCTATGTAAGACACTTGAACCTTTCTTTTGTAATCTTGAAGGAACAAGAGTTAAAAATAGACTTAATAAGTAAATAACAGTACGAATTGGTGTACTTACTTGGTACGGGAGCTAAATATAATAGAGTTACAGTAGCTGCTACCATTCCCAAGAAGACTGCTAACCTTACAAGAGCTAAGTTGGGTACGGCACTCATTTTTGTTTTTCACTAGTTTTTCTTTACAAGTTACCATAACAATATGTACATATCAAGACCAGCGAATTGTATAAAGTTCTTTCTGGAATACAAAAAAAAATTAATTAAGTTTTATACAACAGAATACAATCTTATAATATTGTTTTTATGTTATTTTACAAAATTACCTAAAAGTTCTTTTAAAAATATAATGCTGCCCTAAAAGACGCCAAGACGAAAAATTAAATCATTGAAACAAAGCAACTAATGGAAACTAAAAGTGTAATCTAAAGCAACGAAAGCATTTATGAAGAAAAACTACGAAAAATAATAAATAAAGAAGTTCCACGAAGAAACTAAGTTCCTCTAGCTGGCTGTATACCATATATCACAAAAAATTGTTTAAAATCCTTTATAAAAGGTATATAAAAATGCCCCAAACGGGCTATCACAAACACATTGCAAAACGTTTTCGGATTAATCAATCCATCATCAGTGCAAACGGTTGTACATGCTAGTAGTCACCAAAATAAATGGGTCAAAACCATTTAAATGTTTTAAAATTGTAGTTGTTTTACATTATTAGTAGTTATAATTTGTGATGTTTAAGTTACTGTTGGATAGGTAACATGGCGGCGTATGACTCTACATGAGTAAAATGGTCCTGAGACGAAGTGTCTACGAGGACCTGTTGATAACAACTTGTTAGATAACGTGGATAAATATATCTGAAGATAAATATATCTGAAGAATTGTGATATTTTTTAAATATTTACATAATTGTCTTTTACAGTGTCTTGAAAAAGGAATAAAACCATTCCGAAAGCTCGACAAAAAGTCAAAAGAGTGTTTTTTTAACATCCCCGCCAATATTCTGACTGCAACACTAATAAACGGTGTTGTTTGTATATATATATATATATATATATATATATATATATATATATATATATATAATATATATATATATATATGAGATTTATTCATGAATATAGTTTAACATTAATCAACAATAATAATTCAATAAACTATAAAAAAAAGAGCCAATATAAAACTTTTATTATTAAATATGTAAATCTGAATAAAGTCAGCAAATTTGTCGGATATTTATTATTTTTGTATTGAAAGGATATTGGAAATACGAGTATAATACAAAAAATATATATAATTCAGTTTAATGAAGTCTAAAATATTCGGAAAATTTTTATTTAAATTCAAACAAGTTTTAAGTATAAAATTTTCAGTGATCTATAAATAGAATGCTGGCTCATATGAGAAACCATCATATTATCAAGCATGTAAGGTGATATTTGGAATTAGAAGTCACTTAAATAAGAATACGAAAACAAACAACTGATGGAAATGAATAAACAACAGGCAGCTTAAGAAATGATGGCATTTTAACCCTCGGTTAGTGTTCTGGGATAATGCTAATGCTAGTATAATAGTTGTAGTTTATACATGTTTTTTCACGATGACTTTGTTAACAGCTGTACATACAATTTCAGTTTGAATAAGGAGCTAGTCAAAGACGGTTGGGGTGTGTGATACCCCGGTACATTACTGTTGTAACTTTTAGTTGTTTTGTGTTGTAGAGGTAAATTGACATGATATTTTTGATATTTTTTCGAGATGTACTATGATTTTTATTTTTCTTTCAGCGATACTAAATTATAGAATAATTATGTCTTACCAACAAGATCAGGAAAGGTTAAAACGTTTATGAGCGGAGTTTCTCAGTATTTCTGACGATGATAAATCGTTCATTCATAATGAATCTGAGGAAAAACAAACCGCACTAGAAAGTCGAGGCAATCATATTGAAAAAAGGGGCTCAAGGAGAGACAGCACACAAAAGGGAGGATTCTGAACAAGTTGAGGCTGAAGAAGAAAGTGAATTTTCAAGTGGTTCAGAAAATGGTAGTGAGAAATGGTAGTGAGAATAATGGTAAAAGATACTAAAAGGTCGGACAATCTAATTACATATTGGTGTAAAAGGAATAGCACGAGAAAAGCAGAGTGTTTTTGATTGTTGGTTGTTATTCTTTATAGAAGATATGTTAGATGACATTGAAAGACTATCATCATTATCAGTAACTCAACAACCCTTTCTAGGTCCTGGCTTGTTCTAGGATTTTCTGCCATTCTGTTCTGTTCTTTGCTTTGTTTTTCCAGTTGGTAATTTTAAGTGTTTTCAGATCTTGTTACACTTGCTCCATGTATCTAAGTTTGGGTCTTCCCCTTAACCTTCTCCCCACTGGTGTTTGCCTCATTATTGCCTATTCTTCTTCGCGTGCCATATCAGATTTATCCGACGTTGGCGATCACCATTGCGAAGGCTTCTCGATCTTCTGCAATATGGAATAATTGTCCTGCATTTGGTATCTGAGTCCATTCACGAATGTTTTTTAACCAAGAAACTTGTTTTCTTCCTATACCTCTACGGCCCTCTATTTTGCCTTTAAGAATCAGTTGTAAAATTTTGTATCGACTTCCCCTTACTATATGTCCCACATAAGACATTTTTCGATGTTTAACAGTTCTTTAGCAGTTCTCTGTCTTTGTTGACGCTCCTTAGTACTTCTTCATTAGTTTTCTTGCTGTCAAGGTATCTTCAGCATCGTCTATGAACCCATTTCAGCTTAATGATCGTACTTTAGCGTCCACACTTCTGCACTATACAAAAGTACAGACCAAACATAGCACTTAACCATTCTTTGCCTTAGTTCTAAACTGAGATGGTTATTGCAAAGAAATGACTTCATTTTCATAAAAGTAGTTTTAGTCATTGCTATTCTACGTTTTATTTCTATGTCTGGATCTAGTTGGTCCGTTATCACAGTTCCCAAATATGTCATTTTGTGAACTCTTTCAACTTGGACTCCGTTCAATTGAAGCTTTGCATCGGGATGTGGGTCACGACTAAACACCAAAAATTTGGTTTTGTTTGAGTTTATTTTAATGCCCATTTCCTCTCCTACCTCGTGAATACGATCAAGCAGAATTTGAAGACCTTCAATATTATCTGATAGAATTACTGTATCGTCTGCATATCTAATCACATTAAGTAGTTCCCCGTTGATTTTTATTCCATATGGTTGTCTCTCAAGTGCCTTTTTAAATAACTGGTCCGAGTAAACATTGAACAATGTTGGCGACAAAATGCAACCTTGTCTGACTCCTCGTTGTATGGGGATTTCATCGGTGTAGTTATCTCCAATTTTTACGATAGCAGTTTGATTCCAGTACAAATTTTTAATGACACGAATATCCTTGTCATCTATTCCGATATTTTTCAGTATTTGCATTAATTTTACATGCTGTACTTTATCGAATGCCTTTTCGAAGTCCACGAAACATGCAAATACATCTTTTCTTTGGTCACGGCATTTTTGTAATAGGATGTTAAGCGCAAAAAGTGCCTCCCTGGTTCCCATAGCATTTCTAAAACCAAATTGGGTATCTTCAAGATCTTCTTCGCATTTGCGTCTAATTCTGTTGTGAAGTATTCTGAGGAAAATTTTAAGAGTGTGGCTCATTAGGCTAATTAATCGATATTCTGAGCATTTTCTCGCATTGTGTTTTTTAGGTATTGCGATAAAGATGGATTTGAGCCAATCTGCGGGAATCACTCCGGTGTTATATATTGAATTAAAAAGTCTTACTACTACTTTTATGTTATCATTCTCTATCAGTTTCAGCAACTCAGTTGGTGTATCATCTGGACCACAAGCTTTTCTAATTTTAGCATTATTTATAGCATGTTCTACTTCGCATTTCATAATTTCTGGGCCGTCAGTACAGTTTTGGTAGAATTCGGCAATATTATTCCTGTCATCTTCAAACAACTCTGATATATACAGCTGCCATTCTTTTCTTATTTCTTGCTCATTTACAATAATTTTGTTATTAGTGTCAACAAGTACAGAGGGAACTCGTTTTTTAAATATATTACTCATTTCTTTCAGTTTTTTGTGCACATTAAATAAGTCGTGTTTAGATATTACATCCTCCATTTCGTCGCACCTTTCTCTCATCCATTTTTCTTTGGCTAATTTGATCTCCTTTTTTATTCTTCTCTGCAGGTGTCTATATTCTGTTACATTAGATTTTATCAGTCGACGTTGTTCCATTAATTTCAAGATGTCGTCTGTCATCCAGTTATTTTTCTTGATTAAGTTTTTTCTATAATCATTGTTTGTGGAGATTTCGTTAACTTGGTTTTTAAATTCACTCCATAGTTCTTCTGGATCTTCTAGTTGTTCTCCAATGTTTTTTATTCTATTGTTAAATTCTGTTTTAATGTTATGTTTTATGTTTATATCGTCAAAGTTAAGTACATTGGTTTTTGGTTTTTGTCGCTGAATTCGTTTTAACCTTAGTTTAATATCTGCTACGAGTGGTTGATGATCAGATCCAATATCTGCACCAGGATATGTAGTGACTTTTTTGACGGCATTTCGGAAACGCTCATTTACAAGTATATAGTCTATTTGATTTCTTGAAGACTCAGGGTTATTGCCATCATCAAATGGGGCTTTCCAAGTGTATAGTCGTCGCTTGGGTAGTTTATACCAGGTGTTTGCAATGATCATATCGTTTTCTTTACAGAATTCATACAATCTCTGTCCTCGATCGTTAGGTTGTCCTAAACCATAAGGACCTACAGTCTGACCTCGTCGACCTTCCCCAATTTTTGCATTGAAGTCGCCTATAATATATAAAATTTCGTGTTTATTAAGTTTCTCTAAGATGTCTTGGATCTGATCATACAACTTCTCGACTTCATCGTCATATTTTCTATCTGCAGTCGGGGCATAGATTTAAAGTATGTTAGTTCTAAATGGTTGAGTATTTATTTGGAGTAATATTATTCTATCTGAGACTGGTACGAAATTGGTCACATATTTAGTCAGTTCTGATGTTACTAAAATACCTACACCATTTTTGTGATGCGGGTCTTCTGTGCTGTTTCCGGAATAATATAAGATTTGTTCCAACTCGATACAAAACCGTTCTTG